CCCCAAAACCCCAAAACCCCAAAACCCCACAACATTACAAACAGATAGAAATTAAGTAATTATATTTGACCAAGAAAGATGCTATTGGCCCTCTACCATCATGTATCTTATTAGCATGATACAACATATTAGGTAATAGCAGGAGGTAGTTGTTTTAGTTAACCAGGCGCTTAGGGTAACCCCTCTGACTGACTTTCTCAAGAGATTAAATAAATAATACAGAGAAGATAAATATTATATGGATAAGGTATTGGGAAAGAGCCCACCAGAATCGATATGATAAGTCTAAATCTTTGAGGAAATAGACTTCAATGAAGACCTTAACCATCAAGAGCAGATTGAAGAGTTTCTCGATAGACAAGATTATTGGCTGAATGTGGCAGCTTTCTACAAAGCTTCCCTGTATAAGGAGGTTAAACAAGACTGTGAAGTCAGAAGATCCTTTGAGATTCCCTCTAGTTATGTGCCGATATTAATATTCACTCTAAGCTCTTCAGACAGGGTTATGGATAGTGTATAATCCAACCTAACTTTATTCTGGTTGGATTGAATTAGCGTACTCTTTAATTAAGTTAATCCTAGTTGAAATTTTAGTGCTTTTTATATCCTGAATCATATCTTCATATGTTCTCATTAAATAATAATAAATACTGCCATATCTAAAATGAGAAATCACATTTGTGAATATTAAAAAATTAGGCTGTAGATGTCTCAGCAAATTTCAAATAAACAAAAAAAATCACAAGAAAAGTGTAATATTTATTAAAAATGATCGAACCTTAAGCATTCTTACCAATTTTTAATATATTTCTATAGTTATCGAAATATAGAGAAAAGAAAAACAACCATTAAAATATTCTTATAGGACTGAGTGTTATTGCAAACTCATCCTTAATATCACCAAGCTTCAAGAAACTTCAAATGAAGAACATAGATATTTCACAAAGAAAGATTATCTTGCTTTCTTTTAATTACATTGATAATTCAGACAAAATTTTTAACTCTCAAACTTATGTAAGGAAATTGATTAATACATTTTGAATATGAAAATTCGCTGCTTCAAGAACATGGCCAAATTTATATTCCTTAAACCAATCGCTCCTATTCCCTTCTGAATATTTAATGCCCATGAGGTTGCAATAATGTTGCTATAATATATCCCAAGTTAGCTAGTGAAGCAAAGAGTAAAGGAATATCTTAGCTTAAACCATCCATAGTTCTCTCTCCCTTAATACCTACAAACATTACTAAATTTCGATAATAAAAAATCCTTTATTTAAAATATCAATCCCATTTAAACCTGAAGAATCCCTTTCACATATATCACAGCCTCTCTCAACCTCTATCCCTCATAAACCCACACCCACTCTTGCTCTACCAACTTCTATTCCAAACAAACCTACTCCCTGACCCAACCCTCTCCAAACCTAAACCCCTCTACTGATGGCCTCCTTCCCCTACCCATTGGAAACCCGTCTTGTCCTACTAAACCCCTCTCCCAAGCATCTTACCAGACAGCCTATTGTCTTAAGATATATACGATGTGGCTACTAAATTCCTGGACTGTCGAAAGAGGACAGATTCCAAAGGTTGGTATCAATCGAGAGAGTATTCTGGCAAATGCTGGGAATTTTAGTGAGAACGGAGGTTGGTGGGGAATAGTGGAGGGGGATCGGAATTATGTGTTGGGTAAATGGGTATTAGGGATGCAATTTTATTAGGTAAATTTGGAGCATTATTGGATGTTTGATAAATAGTTCTTGTGGATTTTTGAATTTTCGATCGGAGCAAGAACGTTTGCTATGTCTATGCGTTTGAAAGAATGCTTACCTTGTTGGCTCAAGCCGAGTCTAGATATAGCCAAAGAATTTCTGTTATTAGAATCGAATGTATACTTTAAAAATGGATATTGGGCAGGCTTATGCATTTTTAAGCTTTTTTCAGTGAAATAAAATTCTGATCCAAATATCAAAGGATTGAACTGACTTCTGAAGTTCCGGGACTCAAAACTATTAAGATTAATTTTTGCGATCTTGTTGTTCAGCGACACAAAAGGTTTTGAATAATCATAAATATCTACTTCATTTCTACAAAAAATCATATAAGAAAATACCTAAATTCCTTCTGGTGTGGGTTTGCTGCCCTATTTATACTCATCTAATCCACGATTTCTCAATACTCTAACAAACATTACAGAAGAATTACTTAATCTTCTTCATGCTATCTTGTGCTCTTCTTTCCTTATCCCTAAAAATCTCTTCATCAATATCAATAATAGGAGCTGGACCGAGCTTCTTCCTCGCACCCAAGCCTTCACGGCACTTAGTTTCCTCCAGTTCCGAACTCGGCCGAATATTCTGTGCAGAATCTAAAATATTTTTGCTAGGAGCAGTGCCAATGGTAGACAAATCCTTCTTGCCTTTAGCTAAAATAGCCACAGCTCGGAAAGCTCCTCTCCGCTTTTTCTAAACGAGTTAGAATCCAAATACCTTAGCTCTTCTTATAGAAGACATCTGAGTAAGCTGAGGATTTAACCTAAATGAATATTAGGGAAACAAATTAATTTAGATAATGAACAATGATTATGTCATGACGGCTCCAATGATTTCATGTCTTAAATTAGTCTACAAGAAGCTATCTCTCAGACTAAACTAAGTCCAAAAAAAAATCATTAGAACAGCCATGTCATAACGATTCTTCATTCTCCAAACTGATTGTATGCTCTATTCTAACGATATTTGCAGATTCACGATCCTCTCTAACACATAAGCTAAGGGCTAAAACTAGGCTTACTTATTACTTTCTGCAGTCTGTTCCTTCTTGCTCTCTTGAGACTTCTTACTTTTAAGAGAGTCTTGCTTGACCATCGTCTTAGATAACATTTTGTTCAGGCCTAAATCAGGGTAATGGCATTTGGAATGGTACATTTTAGGCTTTGGAACACACAAAAAATAGAACAGAAGCAAACCCTAGAGTTGCTACAGTTGCGATTTTAGGTCAGAGAGAAGATTCAGTTAGGGTTTTAAGGAAATATGACAGATTTTAGGAAAACTAGGTATTTGAGAGAAAGTAGAGGGGATTTATTGAGATTTGTTACTTTTGTTGACAGCCAAAGTTTTGAGAGGAGTCTTCTTTTTCTCACTTTTGTTTCTAACAATTAATATATAAAACTACTTGTTTAATTTAGTTGGGAGACCAGATATTTTAGTTGGGATACTGCTAAAGTCTAAGGGGCTATTTCCTTGAGTTTGTTGTGTTATTTCATGATTCAAGGAATCGATTTCTATAAATTATACAAACTGATCTACTTGAAAAACTGACATTTTGTTCCTCAACTATAAAATTAATGAAGAATTACATTTAGAATTTTCCATAAAGCGTGATTGTGTTGGGTCTGAAATATCCATATCTTCCCTAATAGCAGTTTCAGAAACATAAGAAGGAAGTGAATCTGTTTCATTCTGCTCTGGTTGAGGTTTCAGATGCATTTTCTCTTTAACAAAACTCTCTAATCCTTTTACCTCAATATTAGCTACATCTCTATTGAGAGCTGAAGGTGTCATTAATTATTTACCAATATCTGGAGTTTGAGATAATTTTTGTTCCCGATCAGACTCTATCTGAAAGAAAGAGTCATAATTTTTGGGAGAAACTGCTAAATAATAAGTAATCCTTACCAAACTTTGAAGGTTTATTTCAAGATAGACTTCTGTTTTGACAATCCACTCATCCCAGATTTATTGCTATAATATATTTGAAATTCATACTGATTATTAAAGAAGGAATTATTCTGAATTATGCCAATATTAGTGTTGTTGAATCTAGTTGAACTTCTTTTTATACCATCCTCCTTAGGATCAATAGCTAGGAAAACATCATTTGGACTATGCACAGAAACTAAATTATTGATTCTAACAGACTCTATTAGTTAGCAAAAACTCTTACTCTGCTTCTTGAGGCCCTTCTTTCGTTTATTAACAAACCTTTGAATAACTTCATAATTTTTGGAAGTCCTTCTCAAAAATTTTCCATCAGGTTTGGGAGGGAGCTTTATCTCATCTTGACCCCCCTGGGATGGATCATAAGAATACTAAAGATTATACTCGAGCCTACATCGCTATCATAATGGGGTTGGTTCTTCAAAAACTGACTTGCTTTAGCCTGTTTGGCTTTATCATTAGCCTAAAGGATTGACCGGTTCCTTACATATTCCTTAATTCCAATACTAAAAGACTCTGACAACTCTCCGTTAGTATAGGTATGAGTGTCACTCACTGAGTCTTCATCTGATGCATTCAGATTCTGAGTGAAAATAAAGGATGACAGTTTGTCAATATCTACATATTTTAGGATCTAAAATACCTTCTTTCTTTCGCAGCTGTCCTTTTTGATAACTTAGAGGTATTCGTGAGTTTAGAAATCAGGTTATTTGGGTCTAAGAAGGTGAAAATTGTTCGTACCTCTTCTTTGCTGGAATAAGCTTAAACCACGACTGTTATTTTTGTCTATTAATCCCATTAGTATGATATTTAAAACCAAAGATTCTGAAGATAGACAGATTTACAGCTATTATTTAGTAAAATCTGGTTCAGAATCATAACTGCAAGGCAAAAAAATTTATGCTGCTTACTGAAAGAGATATCTTCTTCCGAATTCTTGTGAATATTGTTCTATTAAAATGTTATTTCAAGGAAGCCAATTTTAAACTGTCAGATAAGCAAACAAGGAAGATCGAGGAGCTGGTGAGGCAATATACTGGCCATTTAAAATATGATAAATTTCTAGAAATTCCCAACTGAACCAAATGTTTTAAGATAATCGTTCTTATTGACCAACCACCTTTGGAGCAAGAGTTTGATTATGATTTCTGAAATTTTGAAATCTAGCTGTAGCTTCGTCTTTCTTTTTAGCCATAGATGAAACGATAAAGTCCATATGTGGTAATATTTCAATAATATATAATCTACTTGGGGTTTTGGGGTTTTGGGGTTTTGGGGTTTTGGGG